CACACACACACACACACACACACACACACACAGTACACGAGTAGCTCTGGTATAGGAAAAGAAATGTGAATCAGTTTCAACTCATCTACCTGAGCCTATTGTCAACAGTTTGCCTTTGCCGCTTTGCACATTCTCGTTGTAATAATCTTTCGCACTTTCTCGCCACCAGCTTCTTTCTCTGTGTGTTTCAGCGTGTGTTGGCGAAGAAGGAAGACTCGGAAGGGAGGAACAAGGAAGCGTGCAACAGGAAGCTGTATCAACAATGGCTGAAAATGTTTTCATGTCGTACGTTTCCGCTTCGATGGAAGGCAACACGATGATTTCACATGCCGGCTGTTCCGGCATCTTGATCGCAAGGGATTGCGTCCTTGCACACGGTTCCATACTAGATCCCGTTTTATCCCGATCTGCAGATTCCCTTCGCTTCTTTACAGCCTTAAACTCTGGAGACTTGGTTCGAACGCCAGACGGGCTGATCGATGATTTAACGTTTCAAATACGTCGTAGCCATTCTTCGTTCAAGGATGAATCGGCAAAGTTGGTTGCTGTTTGGAGATGTCCTCTTCTGAAGGAGACGCTAGACGTCTCTTTGGCAAGTTTCACCTTCAACAACCAACGTGGCTTCAACCGTCTTTTGTTATCTGTCTTCTTGGTAATTAAATTCAGCAACTCGCTGGAAACTAGCACCGAGCAGACGAAAGCTCGTGAAAAGAACACATTCGCGCAAGATGACCGCTCGTCGGAACGGAGGAAAATTGAACAAATTTTGTCTCAACTTGCGAACCAAGCTGCTACCGGCCAACTTACGAAAGGAGCTATCGTCGAATTAATCTCGACACCGTTCGGAAATCCTTTTTTCAGAGACTCGACCAGCCACGGTATTGTAGGCAACTTGCTCGGAGTCGACGATTGTCTCATTCTAGTCGACGTGACTAGTTTCCCTGGATGCGAAGGCAGCCCTATATTCTCAACGAACGATCGGTAATTCGTCTGTTCCCCCTTTGAAAGTTTAGTTTCACGTTCGGCTCGTAACTCGTGTGGTAATTCGCTGGTAATTCGATTTACAAGTGGCGAAAGAAGTATTTGCGGCATGGTGATTGCGTCGTTGATCCAGTGTCGCGGAGAATGGATGAACTGCACTTTCGCCGCCAACCTGTTACCATCGTTGAAACTAATTCTTCGAGATCGAGTCTCGAAAGGCGATTTTCAATATTCATCCTACGCAATGCCTTTGCCTTGTCGAATCCCGACTCGAAAGAGTCACTTTGAAATCGGTAC